ACAGCCAGGAATTTCTTCCTAATATCCCATCTAACCCTGCCCTCTGGCAGTGGGAAGCCATTCTCCCTTGTCCTGTCCCTCCAGGCCCTTGTAAATAGTCTCTCTCCATGTTTCTTGTTGGTTCCCTCCAGGCACTGGAAGGGGCCACAGTTAGGTCATGCCGAAGCTCCTCTTCTCCAGGCTGAACAATCTCAGTTCTCCCAGCCTTTCCAAGAGTTGTTATTGTCTAATGAACAGGACTGTGTGTGTCTGCATTGGACATTTTCTAAGAAATAGCTCAGCAGGACTTGCTTTTGGAGCAAAAGGCAGCACTTGAAGCTCACGTGAGGAGAAAGAGTTGTTTCTGAAGGCTGGATTTTATCCAGGTGACTTGCTGTTTCCTTCCACAGTGCCCTTCAAATGCTGGCTCTTATTATGGGCTGAGTCTCTTCTACCTTTCTGTGTGACCCAGAAGCTCGCTGTAAAAAAACCTGCCTGGCTGTCCCATCTGAGAGAACAGGGACCAGCCCTTTGGGGTGCTGGGTATCCATGAGCCCTGAGACCAGGTGGGAGCTGGGCTGGGGGTCCCTTTGTCCTGACCAGGTGAATTTTCGTGGGGCTGTGATTATGAAAAATGAGGTTCTGGAGTGGTTTTTTTGGGACTTCCTTGCCAGGCCATGAGTGATATCCTTAAAATTAGGCTGTGCTGAAAACTGGCTGTGCAGGCAACGTGCATATTTTCTAGATAAATACCCTTTGAACAGGAGAACCCATGGAGATCTAGGGTAAAAGATAATAAAATAACAGTAAACTGAAAATGTAATGAAATAATAAGTATGACTAATAATATTATTAATAATAATTGAAGGTAAAAGATAAAATAATAGTAAGTGATATTATATAATGATAATAATAATAATAGAAGAAGAAATAATTATTGGGGTGTCCTGTTCAGGGCCAGGAGTTGGACTCGATCGTGCTGATGGGTGTAACAATCTGCAAGTTCCACCCTGTCACCACCAAACAGCCTCAAAGTCAGGGCTCCCGGGGTGTGGTTTGGGCTGGATCACCCTCGATCTTTCTTACAAAAATAAAAATTAACAATATCCACTTCGGCGGAGCGTTTTGAGCTTTACAACCAGAGCAGTGTGTATTTATTTTCACTTCAGCAGCGCCGTCGGGCGTGGGTGGGACTTGCTGAAATGTGCTTGCTGAGGCCTTGAACCAGCAATACCAGACCTAATGATCCTCTTCCCAGCGCTCTTGAGCTGTTCAGAGGATTTTTTTTTTTTTCCTTTTGACGCGCAAATAAAGGCACTTAAAAAACAAACAGCACCTGATTTCCATATATAGAGTCTTTGGGAGAAAAAACCACCGCTCCATCAATTATGTTGGCTTTTTTTGTTGTTTGTTTGTTTGGTTGTTGTTGTTGTTGTTGTTGTTTTTTTTTAAGCGCTGCCTCTTATTTCCCCCCAGTCTAGAGGGGCCCATTTAGCGCTGGGAGTAATGTTGTGAGTAATACCGGGCTTGGCACAAACGAGGCGCTTAACTGAGCTCCTTGTTTTTATTGCCCATTGTCTCTAAGCCAGTTTGTGGTTTCATTTGTTTTCCCGTGTCCCAGGGGAGGGGCGATGGCAGCGCGGCGGGCGCTCAAAGCCGTCCTGGTGGATCTCAATGGAACACTTCACGTGGAGGACTCGGCTGTGCCAGGCGCCCAGGAGGCTCTCAAAAGGCAAGTTTTACCTCTTTGTTTTTCTGTTGTTTTGTTTTGTTTTTAATTTCCTCTGGCAGGTTGTGTCAGTGCTGTTTGCACAAAGTCTCTTCGCTAGGTGAGCCCCGGAGCCTCTGCCTTTTTCACGCTGTTGTGGCGAGCAAAGACTTGGCCAAATTCTGCTTTTATTTACGCCTGCATTAACACCCAGACAACTCAGAAAACTCAGCCTTTTCCACGTAGAAAAACTTCGATATTCAAGGTGTTTCCACTGATTCACATATGACTACAGCCTTAGCCAAAGTGGAGAGTAGTTGAGTTCACCTGAATTACCCCACTTACACAAAATCACTTCAGCTGAGCTGTTCCTCGAGGCTTTGTGAAACTGCAGGAGCCTGATCCTGTGTCAGAGCCCTTAGATCTGTGCTAAGCTAAAATGGAATAGCAGAAAAGCTTGGCCTAGTGAGCAAGGCAAACTCTGCAGAATTCTCATTTCATTCAGACAAGACTTTTCTTTATTATTATTATTATTTTTAAAGTTTCTTTCTTCTAGGTAAACAACCTAGTAATTTTTTGGTTTGAGAAACGTTTGATAATACAGCTCATCATCTTTTGTAGGAATTTCGATATATTAATAGAAAGGAGAATTAAATACCTCTTGCTCTTGTGATGAAAGGGTGCCTAAAGAAACTGAGGCATAGCAAAATGATTTAATCTGACCAAGTCAGTGGTGAAATAGGATACACAATCCCAGGAGTATTTGTACTGTGATATGACACTGTTTTCCTGGAGAAGACATCTTGTAATGGATGAGGAAAAGCCACAGAGTGGTATATGCTGTTGTGGTGAATGAGGGAGGACACCTTAAGATTCAGGTCTTTTTCCCTGAAGGTTTGAAAAAAATTTATTTTCTCATGCTCTTTTCTGCTAATCCATGTCACTGTCCTTCCTGAAGAGGAGCTGGAATGACTGGCATTGGAACAAATGGAGAGATGCCATTTTTAGGGTTTCTTCTCAGTACTGAGGTCCGCAGGAAAAAATTGTATCAATTTTTATTTTAGTACCAGCCAGGGGACTGTTTTAGCAGTTCATGCCTGTGCAAGGTCAGTGCATCTGACAAACGATAAGGAAGTGGCAGGTGCAAGCAAAGTCTCCAGCACTGACCAACTTTATTCTGATGTTCTCCATGCAGTCCTGATGCCAGTGTTTGTTCCCATAGCAACAGAGAAAGTGATGGTGGGGGAGTAATTAAAGGGAATGCTGTTGAAACTGTTACTTAAAATTATTTGATTGTTTGGTAGCATGTACTGTCAGTGCAGGGCAGTAATGTGGGTTTATGTGATCCTGGTGTTCCTCAGGAAGGGGAGAAATGGCTGCAAAAGCTGACATAAAACCACCATCAAGGTAACACAGGTTCCTGGAGCATCCTACACCTCAGAGCGAGGCACAGCTGCTGGGAATTCACCCACCACATGGAGTTCAGGGGTAT